GCATCGCGTTTTCATAGATTTTAAACAGGCATATGATAGTATAAGCAGAGAAGAATTACTGAAGGCAATGACAAAATTAGGGATTCCCAAAAAACTGGTCAGTTTGACAAGAATGACCCTAAGCGGTAGTAGATCAGTTGTGAAAATTAATGGCCAATTGTCGGAGGATTTCGAGGTGAAAGATGGGCTTAGAGAAGGAGATATTTTATCCCTTATCCTAGTGGCACGATTTATAATAGAATGACCCAGCATCTGGCATATGCTGATGATGTTGTGATAACGGCAAAAAATAAAACATCATTAGCAGGGACATTAGAAGAATTCGAAACTGCAACTAAGGAACTATGACTACAAATGAATTAACAGAAGACTGTTTACATGCAAACATCAAAAAAGTCAAGTGAAACAGTCGAACGCGTCACAATTGGTAAGCACACCCTAAAAATGGTCGAACATTTTAAATATTTGGGAGCACTAATCACAGAAAACAACGAAATGGTAGAAGAATTAAAAACAAGGATGACTGCCGGGAATAGGTGCTGTTTTGCATTACGAAAAATATTGAATTACAGAACAAAGATCACGGTGTATGAGAAAGTCATCAGACCCGTCGTCACCTATGGCTCTGAGACTTGGGTGATCTCCAAAGCATCGGAAAAAAGCCTACTTGCATGGGAGAGAAGGGTTTTCCGCAGAATCCATGGCCCGGTGTGCGAACAGGAACAATGGAGAATTCGCACTAATAAAGAACTGTATAAAATGTATGCGAGGCCGGATTTGGTCTCAATTGTGAAGGGAAACCAGATCAGATGGTTGGACCATGTGGCGCATATGCCTCGAGACGCGATTCCCAAACGCTTGCTAGAGGATCGGCCTGGTGGAAAACGTGGAAGAGGAAGACCACGCCTGAGATGGCTGGACCAGGTAGAGGACAGCCTGAAAAGGATGGGAATTCGAAGATGGAGAATGCTCGCTCGGGATATAGGAGAGTGGCGAAGGATAATAAGAGACTCCTTCTTACAGGACCGTAGCGCCATAAATAAATAAATCACATGTTTCCAAGGAAATTCAATGAAATTGTCTTACTAAATGTAAACTTTTAAATTTTCTTCACGTTTGAAAATAGTATTTAAAATCCTTCAAAACAAGTCAATGACATTGTTTAAAATACTATCTCATTTATTTGTCTGAAAGAAGAAGTGAAATATAAAAATATTTTATGGCTATGTCTATAACCTTAAGTACATTTACTGTACTTTAATAACTCTATATCTTATATTATATTTAAATAATGAGGTATCTATCGTCCGTTTATTCCGAAAGATCATCATGTAACCTTCTAGAAAATAAAATTAAGGAATAATTTGACGATTTTTTCTTTTTTGATATCCCAACAGTATCCACTTACAATTAGTGGGATAACTTTTATCCTATCTATGACAGGCAATGAAAATATCGTAAATCCTTTTTAGTAAATTTTGCAATGGAAAATAACAGTTTAATAACTAATAGTCGTACAATCCACAATCGACGGATTGTACAATCTATAATCAACTGTTGATGTAATAAATAGCTTTTTTGTTATTTTAATGGTATCAAGGTCTGTTTGTCTGTTGTGTGTATCTCAAAAACAAAAATCGTACGAAACTGAAATTGTGTATTTAAGGTTCGTATATGCCTGGGATATTACAGCAACCTTTGCATTAAAAACAGCTTGCCTGAAGTATGCCTTTATATAATCGATTTTACCCATTTTTACTATTTCCTCAAAAAATGGCTTTAACAATTTTGATTAAACTCGTTATTCCAATGTATATTTTTTTTTTAATTTATGGAAATTTTTATCTTCATTAATGCAACCTGGCACGGCTTAAACGACGAATTTTCATAGTATCTTCCTCGTTCGTAACAATAAGAAAAACCTAAATATATACTATGAAAGAATTTCATAATTGACTAAAAGAGAAAAAAAAAATAGTTTTTCAGGGTGAAAACTTTTCTCCAAAAATTAGAATCGTAATATATATTCATAATATAATCGTTGGATAGCTGCAGTTTTTTAGAAGTGATATCTAACATATAAACTGGTTGAAGATAATGGAGAGTGACGAAAAAATTATGAAGAATAAGTAGTGAAAACTAACGTTAGTTAGCGGAAACCAAATTTTTCCAAACTAAATCAAAACTTACAATTCTGTTTAACCTTGGCAAAGCTAAAGCTGATGGAGAGGGATGAAAAGTGCTTAAACTAAAAAGGTATCGATTTAATACAACTATGCAGTAACCTATTAGGGGATCAATAAAATGTATAATATAACATGAGCTTGATTATTTCCATTATGTTAATTAAAATATTAGTTTTTCCAACAATACTATCAGAATCTTATAACATTAACAATTTCCTCTAAATATCAGATGAAAGCATAATAACTTTGCTCAAATGCTATGGAAGGAGTAGTTTCCTCCAATGAGTAATATGTTACTTTAATTTTAAAAAATAATACGGTAATTTTAAAAAAATAATAAGATCAGGTAATGTACTTTTTTAATTATGCTCATTATATAACTTTAAAAAAGCAATAAGTGAATTGAAGAATGACTCAGATGTTTATATGTATAAAAATATATAAATCATTGATTTGAAAAGGAAGAGCACAACTAAAACTTTATCATCACCTTCAACTTGTTAATTAAGAAAATATGTCATATGACTTCTAACGTAAGAATTTTCATATCTTTTTAACAATTTTATTGCAAATATAATTTTGTGATATGTTATTACTTGTCGCTATAAAAAGTAAGCTAATATACATTTAAAGAAAATATATTGCTTTAAAAAATACTAGCTAATAATATAGTAATAATTTAATTTAAAACAAACAGACCATTGTTGCTCATTCAGATTCTGCAAAGTACTAGGTAATTAGGTGATTTGCAAAAACAAAACTTTCAAAACTGCAAGTCAGTATGATCAAGCACTATCAACAATACCTTATAAACAAACAAACAGATCATTGTTGCTTATTCTTCTTTTAGAAAGCAACCTGTTAATAGTGCTCACGCTACTGAAAACATTTAAATTGCTTTTTATTCTTAATCTTTGTTTATTTATGATATTTTATCCTATCATTTCAAAGAAACGTTGAAATATTTATTGATTAATTTATTTATTGTTGGATTACTTCTGCCCTAACGAGTGATCCACATTTCACGAGTTTTTAAACTCTGTTGTAAAACTTGATTTTTATAAAAGGAATTCCAACATATATTTTATTTTGGTTAAAGGGCAAATGACAAAACTTTAAACGCCATTGCAAAGTTGGGTGAGAAATAGAATTTCAATTACTAAAAATAATTAAAATCATAAATTGAAAATGGCTGGGAAAAGGTCTATAAATACCAAGTCTTATAATTTTAATGTAAAAAAAAAAAATGTTTTTACATTACTATGACTTCGGATAAGATTATTTTAGGTATCATTAGCCAAAATGGCATACAATTTGGAACATTAAGAAATACCTAGTGCACTTCAATATCAATAATGGATTGGAGTACCAATACCATTGATGGAATATTAAATTTAGGAAACATTTTACATAACGATTCTATTATTAATTTTAAAGGAGTTTTACCAGATCCACCAAATTTATGTGTTGATGAGGTTTGTTTGGATAACATCATATTTGATGGTATCAGAATTACTCCCACATTAATATTAAACGACTTAATCATGCAGGGGATTATAAACGTTAATTTAGAAAATGTGCTGATTATATTTTTTCCAAAAATATAATAATGGCGTATATACAACTTGTTTGAAATCAATAGGCCTTATTGAAGTAGATAGTAAATTCTGTATTTTTGATTCCCACGCTTGTGATAATCAAGGTGTACATTGTGCCGAAGGGGTTGCATTTGCAGGTCTATTTGAAAATTTACAGAAATTAATTAATTAATAAAATTTAATTTTCCAAACAATAATCCTGATTTTATGAACCCATTTACGATAGTTCCATCAACATTTGATGTATTTAATGACAATGATGTTCTCGTCGATCAGCATGTCACCATCAGCAATAGTAATGTTGATATTGCAACAGAAAATGTTGGCAAAAAAAAAAAGAGAAAGGTAAATTCATACTTACAAATAAATAAGAAGAGCAAAATAATAATGAAAAAATTGAGAAATTCGGAAGATTATAAAGAAAAGAAGAATAAAATGAAAATAATGGAAATTAGAAAAGACGAAGAATATAGAAAAAGAGAGAGAGAGAGAAATAAGGCCATTATGAAAGAACTTAGAACGGACGATAAATATAGACGAAGAGAAAATAAAAGAAATAAGTCCATGATGAATGAGGTTAGAACTACTGATGAGTATTCACAAAGAGAAAACGTAAAAAATAAAGTATCCGTAGGAAAGACAATGAATATAGAAAACGAGAAAATGAAAGAAATGAGGCCATGATGAAAGAGCTTAGAACTGGAGATGAATTTAGAAAAAGCGAAAATGAAAGAAATAAGGCCATGAAGAAAGAGTTCAGAACAGGATATGAATATAAATAAAAAGAAAATGAAAGAATTAAGGCCATGATGAAGGAATGTAGAACCGGTAATCAATATAGAAGAAAGGAAAAACAGGAGGATGCAAAAATAAAAAGTTTACAAAGAGTAAATTCTATATTCAGATTTAGACATAACTATTACAATAGATTTCTGCAAGACGACAAATGTATGTCCAAATTAAAACTTGAATTTATAAAATGCAGAAATAACCTCCTGGAATATGTGTGTTCTTGTTGAAGACATAGGGTCGAAAATGGATTTATTGAATTTTTTAATAAAATTAATAACTATTCTTCTCCATTTGTTTGTAAAACTTGCAAAAAGTATATATGAAACCTACAGGTTCCAAAAATGGCCACCAGCAATGGAATGAAGTTTGTTTATTTACCGGAGATTATTAAAAAATTGCCTCCTCTGGAAGAACGTTCATGCAGATGCGACCATTAAAAGCTTTTGCCATCAACCCTCAATTAGGTGTAAAAGATTCTGTGGTAAATATACCGATAGATATTGGCGAATGCTTACATACACTACCGAGATCGTTTAACGAAATGGCCACCATCCAATTACAACTGAAAAGGCACATCCTCCATAAAACATACTACATGTATGAAACAATTAGGCCAGGTGTTGTTTGTGAAGCTCTGAAATATTCATCACAAACCCCTCTCTATATAAATAATGACATTAAAATAGATGAGGAATATTTACAAAGATATGACAGATATTATCTGGAGCAGGTGTCATTTATTGTTGATGAAAATGAGAAACAGAATGAATCAGATAACCTTAGTAATAATGACGATCCTCCGTCTATAGAAAATAATAGTGAGGATGAGATTGGAGAGGAAGTACTTTTGTTAGACAGAAACCAACTGGACATAGACAAGGTACACATTATTGGTCCTGGGCAAATTAGAAAACCCGTTCCCTGGCATACGATTAAGAATTTTGACGAGCTCTGTTTTCCTAAAATATTTTGCAGGCCACTCTATTATTTTACCACACAATATGTCATACAGTGACCCAGCTAATTTAGAATGCAGGCGAGTTGACCGTAGGTCATGTAGTCAAAGCCACATACTCTTTATGGCCAAACAAAAACTCGAGAAACATTGTTTAGCCAATATTAACATGTGTTTGCGTAAAACTAAAAAACATAGTTCCAGGATTACCGCTCAAAATTTAATAAACCAAGATTTTGTGAATAATTTAATAAAAATTGATAGCAGGTATCAGATAATCAAAGAAATCAGGTCAAGTCCTGCTTATTGGGAAATGAGGGAAAAAATACTTGCTAGCGATGATCCGGCAGTTGGGCAAGGCAACTATCTTTTCAACCATTTCCGCCGCTGAAAGTAGATGGTCTGAACTAATTGCAGCCTTAGAAAAATTCGGTTTAAATAAAAATATTAACCTCCAAGAGGCTCTTGAAATGAGTGATTTTGAGAAAACTAATTTAATCAAAAACGACCCTTTAACGTGTGCGAGGTATTTCATTTACAAAATTTCCAAAATCATGAAACTTTTAACACTAGGAAAAGTATTTTTGGAAGCCATAATATCGTTGATTCTTTCCAACGCGCGGAATTTTAAATGAGTGGTTCTCCTCATGAACACATGTTTTATGGCTTAAAAATCCACCCGTGTATGATCCATCGAAACCCCTTTCAGAAAATCGTGTAGTTAATTTTATAGATAAATTTATTACCTGTGAATATAATGAGAACGACCCTTACATAGCATTACAAAAACACACTCACATATGTTACAAAGGACGTAAAAATAAACAAATCTGCATATTTAACATAACGTTGCCTGTTAAGCCCAGGACAGCAATAATTGTACTTTTGACTAAGGAAGAAAGGACAGCCGTAATAAAAGAGAATTTAAAAAAAATTAATAAAGTAATGAATTATTTTTACAAAAAACAATAGCTAAGAACATTTTCTGAGATATTAGAAAAACTGAATATGACAGAGGAGCAGTATATGATACCCTTAAGATATTCAATAAATCAAACGCGCATTTTCCTAAAAATGAATAGTTTAGAAGTAGGAATAAACTGTTATAATAATATTACATTTATTTGAGTCAAATATGGATACGCAGTTTGTGCTAGAGGAATATGGTCTTGCAACTTATATTATAAACCATATTGCTAAAGTTGATTCTGGATTGTCCAAATTATTAATGAATACTGCCACTGATATAAATGACGGCAATACCACTTTGCAAGAGAAATTTTGCTAAATTTCTAAATATTTTTTAAACAGCAATTTAATGTCTGCTTACTTCCTACTTAGTTTACCTTTGTGTAAGAGCAGTAGAAAGGTAGTTTTTATAAACACTTCTACTCGAAATGAGTGAGTTGTTAAGTTAAAAAATAAACAGTTATTACAACAACTACCACCTGAGTCAGATGATATCTACATGGAAGATATAATCCAAAAATATTGTAATCGCCCAAAGAGTTTAGAAAATACATGTCTGGTGGAATTTGTAGCCAATTATTATAAAACTGGAAGTTCCACAAAATATTACCTGAACGATGATGATCAAGAGTTAACACTAAAACAAAGAATGAAGCCCTCAGTAATAAGATACAGGAGACATTATTACTCCTTCCCTTTAGGGATGAAATAAAGGAAATAGAAAATAGAAACTGTATTGCCCTGTTTAATGAACATTATGAACTTATGCAAATTAATAAAGAAAATTTTTCAATAAAATATGACGAATCACTAAAAGAGGCGCTAGAAATGGTGCAAAACAATGTTGAAAATAATGATGAAAGTGACGATGACCATAATATAGAGCAACAGGACGAGATTGAGACAATAGATATTTTGGAACAAGGTGGTAAAGTTAGTGCCAATAAACAGGAAATAAATAGATTTACCTCGCCACAACGAGTTACCAGTGAAACTTTATATGACATCATGTGCAAATTAAATTGCGATCAGAGAGAATTTGTAATGCACATGGTGCATTGTTTTAAAACTAACAAGATCCCCCAAAAGATATTTCTCAGTGAATCAGCTGGTGTTGGCAAGAGCACAGTAATTAACGCTGTATATCTATTAATTACTAAGTATTTTGATAACAGACCTGGTACGGATAAGGATAAACTGACAGTTTTGCTGTGTGCACCCTCAGGTAAGGCTGCGTTCTTAATCCATGGTGTATCAGTGCATACTGCTTTTGCGTTACCTGTTACTCAGTTTTCAGGTAACATGCCAGCATTAACCAGTGATATTGCCAACACCATAAGAGAAAAATTATTTCCCCTTAAATTGATAATAATACATGAAATATCGATGGTCGGTAGCGGAATGTAGTTGAGAGTGGACACCAGACAAATAAAAGGGATAAATGATCCATTCGGAGGGATATCTGTGCTCCTAGTGGGCGATCTCCATCAACTTCCACCTGTGATGGACTCGACAATCTATAAATTTACATGCAATGCATTTTCTTCTATAATTAACAGAAATCTCTTATGGGATGAGTTTAATTTTTATGAAATAACAAAAGTAATGAGACAGAAAGAGGAATTAGAATTTATTGCTGTACTCCATAATATTGCACACGGGACTGTTATAGTGATAATGATCTGAAATTATTGAATACGAGAATAACACAATCAGACGAGGTCCCAAAATCTGCAATTAGATTATTTACAAAAAATATAGATGTAGCTGAATATGATGGAAAAAGAATAAACCAACATCAAGGACAAGAATTCGGATCAGTGGCAAAAGACTCTATAATTGGAAAATTGAATGAAAATAAGAAGGCCAGAATTTTGAATTCTATAAAATTGAAAAAAAATAACTGAGTTAAATGGTTTGTCACATGAATTGAAGTTGAAACTAGGTATTAAATATATGATTACAAGTAATATAGACGTTGAGGATGGTCTGGTAAACGGTGCTTGTGGTGAACTTGAGATGATAATGTTTAGACCTCAATCCTCAGAGCCGTATAAACTGTTTTTAAATTTTAGTGAGACAGCTGTAGGTCATAAGGCAAGATCAGCTAATAAGTCTTTCATGGAAAATGAAAATATCGCGTCGCACTTAACGCCAATAGACAAGAACAGGCAGATATTGAATATATCAAATAAGTTGGAACAACAAGTAGTTAGAGAGCAGTTCCCATTGGTGTGTGCTGAGGCATTGACATAAGAGCCAAGGACAGACGTACAAAGAGATATGTATTGACTTTAATAAATGTAACAGGATTACAATATCAATGCTGTACGGGGCCTTAAATCGAGTAACATCTTTAAATGGTTTATATTTACTCAGTAAATTTAAAATTTCTCATCCACCAAAGAAAGATGAACCAATACTCTCTGAAATGAATAGATTTAGAAATGACAAGATGATGCTTATCTGTTTTAATAATTTAAAAGAAATTCATGGGTTGAAGATCATATACCAAAATGTGTGTTCATTGAGGTCTAAACTTCATTGTATCGCTAGCGATAAATGGTTAGCGAGAGGAGATATACTGATATTTAGTGAAACATTGTGTACCGATAGTCACCAAGTTCCAATTGAATTTTTCACCGAAATGATAAGACTGAATGTGACAAAAAATAAATAGAGAGGTATCTCTGTCTACGTAAAATATGGCAAACAAATTAAAAATGTTCATCATGTCCACGCGTACAATGATAAAGGCCACATAGATATACTCCCATTTTCCGTATGTAATTTAAATATTATTTGTGGCTACAAGTATCCAGGTGCCAGCAACCAAATGTTCGAAGCAGCCGTAGAGCAAAGTTTTAAAAACATCGCTACCGATAAACATGTAATATTCATGGGCGATAACATTGATATGCTTAATGGATATAACAGCTATTTATCAAACTTCCTAAAGAAATTTAATTTACAAACAGTCATGGACAATGGACAATGCTTTCTACCTTGTATTTTAGGAAATAAACAAGATCAAACAGGAAAACTACCTCCTCCGTCCTTCCAAGACTACAGGATACACAGTCGAAATAATTCGCCTTTTTATACGTGATATTCCTAGTAACTCCTAATTCCACCTACAAATTTTGACAGAAACAACATAGCTAAATTTGAACTCTTTGCTGCCAACGGTACCCAAATTAAAATATATGTTAGAGACTTTTTAAATTAGACCTAGGTCTTAAAAGGTCTTTTGAATGTCCGTTTATTATAGCCAAAGTGAACAAACCAGTAATAGGTATTGAGTTTTTATCGCACTACAAACTGATTATTGATACAGACAACAATAAACTCATTGACGGTGAGACCCTAATATCTTCCTCTCCAATTTCTATTAGCTGTGAACCTAATTCTGTTCGTTCAATCAACAATTGTGAACCATATCATTCATTATTGTCTCACTATCCTGGCTTGGCCAGGCCAAATACATCGAACATAAACTTGAGAGAACACAACATCGAACATAGTATAGAGACTAGAAGGCTTCCACCTGATTATAATAAAGTCGTTAAAAAGAATTATTTTCTTATTTGTTTAACTACAAGGGATAAGCAAAAATTAGGATTAAAACATAATGCAAGACATATTTGAGCTTATGGGGAAGAATGCCAAGATAAGAACTTAGGCAAAATAATGAGTGGAGAGTATGAAGGAGTGCAGGAGCAGATCTCAGGTTATTACGGATTGCCCTCCCCTCCAAAAAAAAAATAAATAAAAAAATAATTAAATAATGCTATTACAGTTAATCTTCCAAACGAACTTTATATTCTTCAACTAATTCAGACTGCTCACCGATAGCGTTGGGAAGTTGTTGACACACTCTTCATTAAAACGCTAAGAAAAAGCTTCCTAGTGAAATTTGTTAATTTTCACAATGTTATAATTAATATTCTGTAAGAGTACAAAAAAAAAAAAAAAAAAAAAAAACCATAAACAATGCATGGGTAACTTATACAAGGTCAAATTGTCAGAAAGTATCGGCTACTGAGCTCGAAAGGTAAAACACGTAAATAATAGTGACCAGAGGCCGCTATCAAAACAGAAATGAAAGCAGAATTGAACTCCTTGTAGATTAGAATTTCTATGTCATGATCGGTCGAGAGCATCTTTGGGAATAAAAAACAAATCAAAATGTAGCAATGTTAGCTAACGTGCTCTTCGAAAAAAATAGATGTGCTTTTGCAAACTACACCTCCTAAAAATCCATTCAGCTACTCATTTTTTGACCTAATTTATCCTTTTGTTGTTGCCAAGAGAGTCTTGCTTATACATCTTTCTGGAAAGATGAGACTATTGGCTACATCATTGAAAAACTATGATAGACAGGGGGTAATGATACCTACAAATTTGTATATGAGATTGTGCGCAATAAGTACAACTTTCATTGAATGAATAACAAGTGTGATAACTGCAAAAACAACATAGTGGCATTCTAGGTCAACTTTATTAAGAAATAAGTTCAATGGGAACAGCGTGAGAGAATAAAGCATCGAGATTAGTAAAATGTGTAGAGAAAGCGATTAAATGATTACATAAGAAAGTAGATAAAAGTGGAACCACTATAGAAGAAATTATTTTTAAAAAAATTTCGAACTTTTCAAATTTAGCATGTGTAATGTATAAATGCGAAAATTGACATACAAAAACTGTAACAAAATTTGGGTGTTAACAATATTTTGACCAGTTGTGGGTTACCGTACTAAGATTTCTACAAATTTTCACTATAACTACTCAATTTATTTATGAGATTTTGATGTTAGTTGACATGAATACTTCATTTTTTATGGATCGATTCCGTACTAGAATTATTAAAAATTCTCCACTGAAGACAGTAGTTGCTAAAGAACTAATGATGCATAGCTATCAGTTACTGAACTCATAAAGAAATCGTTTTGATAATCTAATTATAAATGTAATTTCATTAAGTTTTTAATTATAGATAACATTTTCTTCGTTTTTCCTGATGTAATAAGAGGCCTGTAAGAATTGGTTGGCTGATAGGAGTTGGTTGAACTAAGGAACAAATAGAGCGTACACAGGAAAAGGTCCTGTCTCCCAAAGAATGCTTGAAGCAGCTCTTTCCAAGAAATTTTCTTGTATAGAATAACTTTCCAATACAAATTTAAAGGTAAAACTTTTGTTGGACTCAAAGTCATTTTAATGTAAATGATAGAATCTATGGACTAATATAGTAAAATAATCTAGAAAACCTTTAGTAATATATATTTACACTAATATACAACTGTTACAATCAAATACAAGTTTATTGTATTTGGAAGGTAGCAATGGTTTGCCAGTGCCTTTTCCATTACCAAATAACTATATCACTACATAACCACCTCTCCAGTGACGTAGAATGCAGACAGGAAGCCTGTAATTAATTGCAGGAATTAATCAAATTTGAACTGGCGCTCTTGATTAGTTGTGATGCTTGCCGGAACACCAAAACATGATATTCATGCTTTACAAATGGCCTCGGCACAAGGAGCTGATGAAATACCAGCTACTGGTTGTACCTATGACTATTTGGTGTACCTGGCCACCATCGTAAGAAAGGATTGTATTCCAGCTGAAAACGGTAATGGTCTAATTATATACAAATGGAGTTGCGACTGTGTGACGTATCTTGGACATCGGACAGGCGAAGCAGTCTTTCAATTATTTTCCTATACCCACATTATGGTATGGCCAAAAACATCTCTGGCCTATGAGTCGTCGCGAAGCTTGTAATCAGGGATAGATGAAGTTATGCATACAAATATGAGCTCCTATCATTGGGGCATAAGGACGTAGGATAGGTAAGGTTTCCACCTCGAGAGATGCCGGAACTTAACCTAATTGAGGTTGGGTTCTTTAGCAGTTGGTCAATTGTGTCGTTTTTAGTCTGCGCCTTAGTAAAGGCACCCATTCCAACAGGAGTGCCGCAATCACTTTAACTACCAAGCGGAACCGTCAGTATTAACCAAGACAGAAAAAAAAAAAATACGAATAGGTTGATTTATTGTTGTGATTTTGGTATTTGCTAAAATTTCTACACCCATCGACCCCCAATGATCGATTGAGACGTTCTTAGCTCAAATTTATACATAGTTCAATTTGATTAATTGAAACCTTCACTCAGAAATAGATAGAATATTCCAAGTGATATACCAATCCTCAAAAAAAAAAAAGGCCGTAAGGTCGACATATTAAAATATCGTTATCAGATTACATTTATGGGAGTGGGGTGTCCGAACGGGTTAACAGGTGTATGAAGTAGCGTTTTTCGGCAGCCTTGATAAACCCAAAAATTCCAAAGAGTTCAAATAGATGTGCCAGCCGATAAATCGGTCATTGGAATATCTGAATCAGTTGATATTTAGTACAGGCCAATCCCTAGACGATTAATAGACACGACCATTCACCAGTAAAGAGAATATTCCAATTGAAACTTTACTATAATCAATAAAATAATTTCGTAAGACCGATATTTCGGTCTTTGAAATATCAGAATCTTTTCAAATGTATGTATATGTCAATCCTGTGACGATTGGTTGAGGTATTTATTAGCAATAAGAATAATATTCCTAGTGAAACGCTTTTGAACACAAAAGTTTTTTTTTGTGAACTTCAAATTTATCGAATTTATCTTTATTTATTTGCTTTAATGATTTCATCCAATTCCAATTTTGTAGAGTTTCAACTACTAATGTTTCAACTTCTCAGAATTTATAGATTTTGAGCATTCACATATTTTTAATTTTTCGTAAAATATTACTTAGTAAAAGTATTTTGCAGAAATGATTAAAGCTAGTGTCAAAAGGTAAGGGAATCACGAAAAATTGCAATAGTACACTCATCATAAATTTTGAACCATAGAAACCAAATAGGTGAAATTTTCTCCTTAAGCGTATCAGACACTTAACAAAATGGATATCATTTACTTAATGAAAATTTATCATCCTATTAGTACATTATGAAAAAAATAATTACACTTTTGTTTACAAGGAATTAATAATGTGCAATTTATAACTAGAGGAGATGTAATTTTGAAATCCCCTTAAAATAACTACACTCTGCCACACTATATTGTATGAAAATTAACATTTCTATTTGCTGTCATTTAATTTATTAATTCTTATCCACAGTCCGTTAATAGGGTTGGCAGTAAAACCTCTTGGCTGCAGCTTGATGTCATCTCCATTCTTATCCCTAGTACTTGATTCCAACTTGTATTTTTCTAAAGTTCTTGCCATAATACAAAGCATAACCACTTCAGCAAATCGTTTTCCTGTAAAAACACAAGAAAAGATAAATGAGAAGAAATGAACAAATAGAAATACTTATTTCTAAATATTAATTAAAATTTGATTCAGGAATGATGTGGTGTTGACTCCTCCTTTTGTAAAAAAGGAAGGTTTCTATTTTGTAGTCCTCAAGATGGGTCAAATGTTATGTCGTCCTTTAGAAAACTGAACTGGTGTTTTGGTTTACCTATGCAATATCTTGGTCCATCTCCAAAAGGCAGGTAGGTTCCACTGGCTGGCGGATTTTCAAACCTTTCAGGTTTATATTTCATAGGTTCGGGATAATTGTTGGGGTCTAGATGTATGGACATAATAGGTACTATGATGGTTATTCCCTTTTCAATGACGGCTCCATCAGGTAAAGTGCAATCTTTTGTACATTCTCTGATTACTGATGGTACTGCTGGATACATCCGCATTGACTCTGAAAATAATAATAATGTATAAATTCGATAGTATTGTTAGAAATAAACAAACAAAGAAATAACTGTATATTTTAATACGTCTATGGTATTTTAAAATAATATGTCCTCGAAAAAGTACTGTGATACTCATAAAGAGAATAATAAGAATACCTTATACATTTTATACCACGTTCTGCAAAAATTTGTGCTAAAAAAAACAACAAAAAAACAAAACAAAGATGAGTGCTTTGGATCACACGCTAGAAGTGAAAACATCAAGACAAAATTATTAATATGAAATATTAATAAAAATAATGGCTCATTATGAAGAAGGTGAAGTGCTGAAAATTTCTCTCGATCACAGTAGATCCGATTTTAAGTTTCAATCTATATTTAAGATAAAACTAGTTACCATTTGATTTTCGACACTATTTTTTTATTTTTCGACTCTCTAACACGAAATCGTGTTAAGATAAAATTTTGAATAATAGCTCATAACTATGAGGATGAAATGCTGAACGATTTCCTCGCTTGTAGTACGCAGGTCAGATTTTTAGTTTCTGATAATGCTTGTTATCATTTGATTTTCGATTCTATTTTTTCCTTTTCACCTCACTAACAGGGCCTCTTGTTAAGATATAATTTTGAATAATAGCTCATGAAAAGAGGATGAAATGATGAACGTCTCCCTTGCTAACAATATGAAGGTCCGATTTTTATTTTTTGAGATATTTTAATCCATATGCAAAAAACACTTCAATTAGTCGACTCCAGCATACTTTAACCAAGCGTTACACACCGGACACAAGCTGTAAGACATAAGGAGAAGGTTAGAGAAGTATGACTTATTATAGGTTAGAATGACTTATTCTCAATGAAATAACTCACTAAGCTTATTTCTCGAATTTTGATAATGCTTTCCCCTAAAGTATCTTTGATTCTGATTACTATATTGAACATATCTCATTGTTAGGAGTTGTAAAAATAGAATATATACATATATATATATATAGAGAGAGAGAGAGAGACATACATATATATATATATATATATATATATATATATATATATATATATATATATATATATATACACACACACACACACATATATATACATTCATATCTAAACTATAAACTATAAATATAATTATAATTATTCATTTTATGGTCTCTTGTTTCTATATTTATATTTTACTTCCAGTTTTGTTTTTATTCACATTGTACTCTTATCTATAATCTTTTAATTCTTTTTTATATGTATATGTATATATTTATTATTTAATATTTCATAGATATAGTATTTTTTCCCTTGTATCCATCCATATTTTCAAATTTTAGATACTGTAATTTTCTAGGTTTTTCTCCATTACCTAAACAAGTCAGCGAATTCCCCAATACCTACCCTTTCTCTGGTTTTCCACTTATAAGTGAAACTCCTAGTTGATTTATTGTATCTTTTCCATTCTAGCCCTGAAGACCTGCAAAGTTGGGTCGAAACGTTGGCTTTTAATAAAATAGTTTTACCACTGTTTAGCTTATTTATGACCCCCACTCCGGACCATCTCCTTCCTTTCTAAACTATAAACGAGTTTAATAAATAATAAAAGGAAAAATAAAATAACAGTTATTCAAATTTAGAATAAAATACAAAAATAACACGAACTATGAATCATAATAATTATCGTGTTAGTTCGAATTATAAATTATTGTGTAACACGATTTCGTGTTAGAGAGGCGAAAAAGAAAAAAATAGTATCGAAAATCAAATGGTAACGAGTTTTATGGAAAATATAGATTAAATTATCTAAGAAACTAAAAATTGGATCTACAAACTGTAATCGAGATAAATTATTATGTACAGACATTATGGGACGATAGCCCTTTAAATAAATAAAGGCGATAAAAAAAGGAAGCGAAGCCATGGAGCAGTTCCAGTCGCAGTACACGCAGAGGGGAAGTTGTCCTTACACTGCTAAGAATAGATCATACCAGGCTTTTGCACCTTCACTTAATTACGAAAGAATACCCGCCCATTTGTCGGAAGTGTGGAGAGAGAATGACAGTGGTCCATATCTTCGAGAGTTCTGCCTTTTACATTAGAAAATTAAACATAAGGTGAATACCAGCAAATACACCAGCTGCTTTGAAAAATGATGAAAAAATCCTAGGCAAAATCATATGTTTTCTCTCCGAAGAAGGAATCTTAAAAAATATCTGAACATCTCACGCAGCACTCCCCACCTATTTTTTCCTTTTACCATTTTTTTTTTGCTCTCCACTTTTTTTCCCCTTTTTCCTTTTTACCTAACGTGCAAACTTTCTAATAACTAAACTTTAATAACAATAAACAACTTTTAACCTTAACGTACATTTTTTTTAATTTTATGCAATTCTTAATATTCATGACCAAAAAGATATAATAATATATAATTTTAATTAACGGTGTTGATGACCAACTGGTTCTATGCCTTTACTACACAACCAACCAATCAACCAAAAATAATATTTGCAATATAGGCTGAATTGTTTAACTACCTACACTTAAAATATAAAATATTATAGTAAAAAATACCTAAAATGCAATAATTCAGGTATTTTAGCTCCTTTAGGGATTCGAATGTAAATTGACCGTATTTCGCTTTAATCTCTTGCACCTCTTTTCTGGCCCTCTCTTGTATTTCTGGATGTTTTGCCAAGAGATAACATGTGAAATATAATGTAGTAGAAGTAGTTTCATATCCAGCCAAAAAAAATGCGAATGACTGCGCAGCTAAGAGATTATCTGTCAATTCTAAAAAAAAAGAAAGAAAAAAAAATTAACTATGTAGTTGTAGTATGTAGTATACTGGTATATTGGTATGTATGTATGTACTATGTAGTATATTGGTTTATTTGGAACAAGAGTCTCTCAATACAAACATTTTTTTTTTTCTATATTTGTCTGTAGAAAAATTTTAGATGTTTATTTCATAATTTACAGCAATCATAATTTACATTTTATTGATTTTTGAAAACCATTGATTTGACTGTAATTTAACCATCCATACCTAAATGAACCAAAAATGAATATTTTAAAGCAAAGAATGTAAAATGTTTCATTTGATTATTTATAGTGAATTAGGGAGTGCATGGGCAAAACATAAATTCTTCTCCTGTGATAATCCATTTTATACTTTCTCTTACCTATACATGAAATATAAATATAGTAAGAAAATGTATTGCAATCGTAAAAGAATCCGAATTTTCAACGGTAGTACAATCCGAAGTACACGTATTGGGGCTTCCTGAGTCCAAATGACATACTTTTGCAAAGTAGTCTGCATGTGTGTGTTATTTGTTCTGTTTTTTACGTGCTTTGTTTAATCTGGTACACTGAAGTTTAATTTCTTAGGACACTGAAAATAAAATATATTGAGAAAATTGGCATTTCTTATGAGTATGAGAACTGGTGATAGCAAATCTTTCTTTGGTTTTTCTATTGGATTACTATTTTTTGGTAGCTGTAACTATCTGCTGTGACAAGTGCTCTGATAGTTTGACTATCATGAATTTGAACTATTTTACTTGCATAAATTGAAATAAACTTAATTTAAATGTGTTTGTTTTAAATATTTAATCAATGAAACCTACCTATTACCTCATTAGAAGTTTCAGTATCTACTTTATTTTTTTCTGTTTCTCTAGAATCTATCTCAACTGTTCCTTTTTCCTTCAGTTGCAGAAGTAATTGGACAAAATCTTTTCGTACTACTCCTGTACTTCTCCTTTGGTGCAGTATCTTTTCTGTTGTGGAAAGGAAAAAATGTCTTACTTTATTCGTTACTGTTCCAAGTTTTAACCAGTAAAAGACATGTGGTATAGAAAATCGCAACAAAATTATTAACATGTTCATCTTATTCGGATCAAAAAATTCTCTTCCAATATCTGAAAATTCCCAGTCAGGATTTTTTAAAGCTTGAGGTTCAATTCCGAATCCGCAAGATGCTGAAAAAAAAAGTGCATATAATTAATGCTACATAAAACTAGGATATTAAAAAAATCTAAAAAGAGTTTATAAGCCGTACTCATTTAATTGAATTAACAATGGAGTTGTGCGAGGAAATTCTGAGCTGTGGGACTAAAGATTAAAGATCTGGTTACAGCAAAACGACATAAAATAATGGAAACTATTTTATTAAATCTACATTACAACTGACTATGCAGCTCTTCATTAGCGCTATGGTGAAGTAGAGCTTGTGTGAGAAACTTCCTAGTGTAGTCCCGCACAGAAGCCAATAAAAATTAAGAAAGCTATACTTATGTATAAATTATAAGTTATATTAACTGTAACCACTAACTCCAATAATATTTGGGTGGTTTTCCCCTTATATGGGGAAACAAAACAAGCCTAGTTTTGAGTTCCTCTTCAACAATCAATCAAAATTTATTATATACCAATAAAATTCCTCTCCTACCCTACTATTGTTTATCCCTATATCTTACTGGCAACATTTGACGCACCTGCATTAAAAGACATTATATTGATCGATATAGTTTCCCAACTCAGCTGAATGAAAAAAAAAAAAAAATCATTGTAAACTCCAACAATGTGTTAATAAGCAATTGAAGTTTGGGCAAAGTACTTTCAAATTATGAGGTTCCAATGAAATAGTACTTCATAATAATCCAATAATTATGTGTGATGGGGTTACTGATTAGGCCATACATACATGTTTTCTTTTTTCGGTTCATAAATTATAGTTACACGGACTAGCAGAAAAAAAGTAATTACTTACCAGTAACGTCTGCAGTAAAGTTCTTCAATAAAGTGTTGAGGTCTACATCATTTCCATCTCTTAATTTGTCTATGCACTCATCAAAAATATCAGCACATTCTACTATTTGTTCGTACATCCACTTCAACTTCACTTGGCTGAAAAGAGGAGTCATCTTACTTCTTAAGTATTTCCATTTGTTTCCTCTTAAAAAAAATAGGTTCTCATCAAGAGGGTTCCTTTTCTCGTCCACCATAAAATTTCTGTCGTAGAAATGTTCAAATTTGGTCTTGAGAACGAAATTTATGTATTCCGGATCTCGGAGCATAATTGAAGGAACTATTGCTTGGTAAAAGCCTCCATATTTTTCATTTTCGAGTTTTTTATATATCTTTTCCCAGCTTTCGGCTGTTAATAAAAAAAAATTATGAATGAGCACAAATACTATAAAAAAATGAATAATTTATAAATTTACTATATATGGATATCATCTTAACTCATTCAGTGTGGATCATAAAATACCTATTTGTACTTATACATACAATAGGTACACATTTCAGAAATTATTATTAGATAGAATATAATTATTATTAATATTAGAAATTATTATACTTAAAAAATATAAGAAGTTATTATTTTTAGATTATAGGGATTGCAAGCTATTTTTATCAGTTCTCTAGACCTTTTCATAGGCATTTATGGATCTAATTGAGGAAAATTAATTGGTTTACAATAAAGAAATTAATCAAAATAGAATTTTGGAAAATTTGAAATAAACTGAACCAGATCAATGATAAATTACAATTTATTTAAAATAAAATGACTACTCATTAAATCTAAGTAAAAAAAAAAAAAGAAAAAATACATACATATCAATAAAAGGTTTTTTCAGAAGGGAGTGACACTAAATTGTGCACTGATCCGCACCAAAGTGGCTGCAGCAGTCCTCAAGTTTACCATCCTAACAGCACTGTCAGGCCCTGTAAGTATCTCTATTATCCTGGCATGCCACCTCCCCTGCAGTGGAACATCTTTTTCATGTAGAATAACAAGGATTACATCTTTTAAATTTTCTTTGTCAGTTTACCACTTGTTGGGAGGCACCATATTGTGGAGGTACACATTATACCATCTCTTCCAAAAATTACGAAGAGTTTTGGAAATCATCTCTCAACGCTTTTCAAAAGAACACAGGTGCATCTACTTGTTCTGGTCTGGCTAGGTGGGATGAAGTGTCCTGGGTTGAGGTTATTCCAGGTTATCCGAAGGCTGACTGCTAATATTACAGATAGGAGGGAATTGAGAACAGTTTCAACTCCTACCAGAAGAGTATAAAACTCCTCACATGTTAACGCATGATCTTGGAGAACGGCAAGAAGGTGTCTCTTAGCGGATTTAATAGCTGCCTCCTATATACCACCGAAATGAGAAGATGCTGGAGGCGTAAAGATCCACTTTATACCTGTCCGACTTAAATGGTTAGAAATGGGTTCGCGCTGGTCCTTAACAAATTAATTTTGGTAGCTTCTCCTGGGCAAAACTCTCAGGTAAATCACACACACCCGGAACCTTTCTCGGAAGAGCCTGAAAAGGCGATTAGTTATATGGATGATGCATTCTGGCTGACAATGCAACGAGACAGGCAAACATTTCTCAAGCTCGAAAATTCTTCAAGGAAAACCTTCCATCGTGAAGACACACTAGAGGGCAACTCATCCTCCTAAGCAACATTAAGCAGCCACAAGCGTTGTAATATGCATTTAACAGAACAAATTACTGGACTGATATAGCCATTTATATAGATAATTTTGGTAATGAAGGATATAATACCTAGCTAAGTAAAAACAGGCTTACTTTCCTGTATCACTTCCTGAGATGATCGAGTTTAAGATCCCAAAACATTGACAGTTGACGAATTTCCATCTAGGCACAACGGAACTCTTGACTACCCTCAGGTATAACAGAAAGTACTTTTTAGGAATTGCTGGAGAACTTTCTGAGTTCAAACCCACCTGCTCCAAATAAGGCCACCAACTCATTATACAGTTCCAGAGCCTCATCACTATTGCGAACACCAGTGATTGCGTTGTCTACATAAATCTGGTCATGACACTGGTGCTTTAGGTAAATTATGGCATTCTTCACAGATTAACTGTACAATGACTCTCTGAACAACAAAGGGAGAACATTTCAACCAAAATGACAAGGTAACCAACTCATACTTCTGGATCGGCTTTGAAGATTCACTTCTCCAAAAAAAAAACCTAATAAGTTTTGATCAGTTTCGGCAATGCGGATACACCTAAACATCATTTTTATATCGCATGTTAAGGCCACAGGAAAGAGTCTAAAATGGTCTTTACGTTCCGCAATATCAGTCTGGAGCTGCGGACTGGTCAAAAATAAACCATTGAGTGAGTTCTCTCCCAACATCTCCCCTTAACCATTAAATACAACTCTATGTTTGTCTTGGAAGAATCTTTAATGACTCCATGATGTGCCATGACGTATGAAGAAGGGTTCTTGGTGAGGTGGACATGATCCAGTCTTACATATTTGTCCATCTGACAGACTTATTCTCTGGGTCTCTCATAAATCTATTTTCCAGATTTCTAAATATGCGTAGAGCTATCTCTCTGGAGGAATCAAGGCTAATCTGCTCATCAGAACGGAACGGAAGCTGAACAACGAATCTACCCTGGAGATCACGAGTGCATGTATTTGTAAAGTGGTCTTCGCAAAATGCATCTTCTGGATTAGACGGAATCGAAACTGTGAGTTCCTCAGTCTTCCAAAATCGCTTTAATTCTTCCTGTAAGGAAGGGGTAGTCTGCAAGAAAAGAGTACGCACTGAAGGTATAGGGCTTTGGTTTTCCGAAAGGGTGTCCCCAAATAATACCAATCCTAATGAAGTATGCATGGCTTTTGGTTGATCCTTCAGAAATAAATCAGGATCATTTAAAACCTCACCGTATTTCTCAGCACCCAGAAGCAGATCAACTTTTCCTGGCGTATGAAATTGAGAGTCCTCAAGTTCAATTCAAGGAAATCTATTCCGTACTTCTTGGGATACGGCAAACTTCCACTGATGCAGGGCAATATTCTTTCAGAAAACCCATATATATTGTTTCTCGTCGAACCCAACTTTTCTTGAACCTCAGCTGAAGATGAAGATATGAAGATATTACTTACTCCATACACCACAAGAGGATTAACTTATGAACATTTTCATTAGATCAGTGGTAATTTAATTAATTTGGGAACCTGGATCTATCACTATTCTGCACGAATACCACTGATCTGAACTTGAACAACTTCTACCTAAGACATTACTCAGAAGTACCTGTGAGTTGGTTGTAGTATGGCACGAAACTGTACGAAAATAGTTTATTACTTGAGACTGCGAGGGCTTAGTGTTTGCAGCCTTTTGTAACATCGTATAGTGACCCAAACTTGGCAAAAGCTATTACTTTGGCGTTTAGGCAAACGATGAAGTCTCGTACCAGAAAAGCAGAAATCAGACTTCTTTAGTATGTCATAGCGACCAATAACTTAGACATCTAGAAACTGAAAACAGTTTATAATTTTATGCTTTGATACAGAGACTTGGCATTCTAACTTAAATTTTTGATAATCCGGTCTATTCTGATTGCTGGTTTAAAATGATTTTCGATTAACTTTAGGCTGTGAAATTTTGGATGTAGAAGGCTCGTATATTATATAATATCGTATATTATATACAATTACACAAATTACAGCCTGTTCTATGCTTCCACTTGTCTTTTGATTCAAAACTTTTTATATAGAAAATTCATTATTTCAGAGAAATGTTATCCCCTCAAAAATTCAAAATGCGCCTCCCTCAAAGATTTTGATGGCACAACATGCGTCCATGAATCTCCCCTCTGGGCACCTCTTGTCGGCCGAACGGGCTAACGTATGTTCACAGCACACAGCGAACCGGGAAAACTCCGTATAGCCTAAAAGAAGGGGTGAACCTAAAAAATAAAAAAGAAGTAGGGCGTTGAATGCTATGACACACGCCCCCCTACGCGGCAAGGCTGGATATAATATGATAAAAACCATGAAATAAAAAATAATTATACATTTCCAAATCGTATATATGTACTACCATAAAATGAACTAGAATATTTTTTAGTAAAGTAGGAAAGAATGATAAGTTTTATATTCATGACTTTCATGAAAACCTGTTTGTTCTTCTTCTAAACACTATCTGGAAAAAATAAAGCATATAATACGAACTCAAAAGCTACCACTTACTGAAGTGTACTTTAAAGAATACCATATCGGGATCACTTCCAAGCAAAAACTTTCCTTTTACATGTTTGATGTTCCTCTTTTCAAAATATGAATATATGCTTTTAATTTTATAATAAATTAAAAAGGACAAAGTGAATATGCCCATCAATACGTCAATCCTCCAATCATTTGTTACAAGTGCCATGGTTAGAGCTGAAACAGTATCATAATTTAAATTTTAAACAAGAAAATAGAACCTAAAAGTAACAACAGTATACATATCGTTATTTTGGAAGTAATGTTACCAATATTTACCCGATGAACATTGTAAACTATTTTATATAGTAATTCTGTATATGTGGAAAATTCAGTGAATTTAACATAAATTTATATTTTCAATCTATATAAATCATAAATATATTTACCACGTAAATATTTAATGGCAGGACATCAATAAAAGGGTTAGAGCAAACATGCTAAACGTAACAATTACTAATAGTCGTTAAATCTTGATCCGAAGTTGGCATGCGAACTAAGTGTACGAGATGGAGAACTAAAACGGGCTAAGTAACCTATAAATGATTATCGATTATAGAACTATAAGTTATTAAACTGTTATTTTCCAAAGTTGTCAAACTAATTGTAAGTGAATAATAAATAATAATAGTGAATAATCACAAAGCGAAAATTCATCAAATTATGCATTTAATTTTCTAAAAGGTTATTTGATGATTTTTTGCAATGAACGGCCAATTAATACCTAATTATTTAAATATAATATCTAATAAATCTAATATATTATCTAATAAATCTAGAGTTATTAAAGTACAGTAAATGTATTTAAGGTTATAAGCATATCCATGAAATATTTTTTATCAAAATAGATTTAGTATAAATGGAAGGCATAATGATAAGTACTCTACAAAAGGCCCCTACAAACTGATAAATGTTTGTTGAGTTCCCGATGCTAATTTCAAATAGTATTAATCCTTGTGTTGTCAATAGTTTTCATATAGTTAGGGATAAAAGGCCATATTAGTATTCTATCTAATCCATCTCCCAAACAAAGCGTTTGAGGACATACATTAACTTTGAAGAACATGTAATATAAATGCTAATGTTTACATTTAATTAATAAAGCAATTAGAACAAATAAATAGGTTTTATTTATTTCATTTAACGTAAATAATTCATAACAACGATAATCTTTAGGCGTGAATATCTCCTAAACAAAATGTTTGTAAACATATCTACAGAGAATTTTTTTTTCTTGTTTTGAGGTCCTTAGTTCATTTTTGAAGTTTGGTCACTTTACCCAGAAACACCCTGTATAGTTCATATAGCTCCGATTTTTTTCGATCGAACCTCTTCACAAACAGCTCCATAAATTCTTCTCAATATTTTTCTTTAAAATATATTCAGCATACTGATTGAGCTTGTACAAAGGGTCCATATCTCCGCTGCGTAATTCATAAGCTTTCCAACGACATATTATTTGTATACCTACCTTCTCACAGTTATTTCCGGAGATTCATTTTCAACCTGGATAAGGATTTTAATTTTTTTCTCCAGTTTACAATTACCATATTTCTTCATAGTTATAGTTACTTTCAATAGAAGAGAGCTAATTTTTTTTAAATGAACCATATTAAAGGCACTTTAGAGGAAGATGTTGGGCATTTAAGCCTTAAATGACATCAAATAAGGGATAAGACCAAATGATATTAAAGGCCATTTAATAATACAATGATACACTGAGTTTAATCACCATTATTAGAGCCGTTTTTGAGAAAATTGTAAAAATGTGTTTCACCGTTGATATAAAGTGGCACTTCCGGTAAGCCAGATTTAAGAAAAAAGTTGCTGTCACATATAAGGCATATACCTATTTTAAATAAGTAATATCAGTTTCGTAAGACTTTTCGTTTATGAGCTAGACTGTTCACATACTCACACACACAGACCATTTTGTGGGCCTTTGTTATTTGGACATGAAAACGTGTATTTCTGTTGAAAACCCCTATTCAAAAATTTTCACTATCGCAATATTTTCCTTGGGCGGGGTGGCCGAATGGGCTAACGCGTGTGCACTGCACCGCCGTTGCCCGGCAACCTGATAAATGAATCAAAGATATAAAAATAGACACGAGTTCGCATCCCTGGCTCGGGAAAATCCCGTATAGCCTTAACAGCGAGGAAGGGAAGGACAAAAAAAAAAAAAAAAAACAAAAAAGGTAAGTGAAAGTAAAAATTGTATAAATAATGTTTTTTTTCCTAGGGGGCATTGGCAAGAACCTTCGAACAGGGATATAATATATTTAGCTATTACAATAGTACTTTTCAGGGATACTCGATGTTGTTATATTTGGTGTCTTAAAGGAATAAATAAACCCTTATGCTTTAATCTTTTTTTTTTTGTTTCAATTTTAGTAAATGTACCGAGTATATGTACATATTTCATTGAGAATATGTACTAGAATAGAATGTCTGGAGTTTATTGTTAAAAAAGCGATCCAAGTGGTTTTTGATGTCCTCTTCCTTTTGGAATTTCTTTCCATTCATGAATTTCTGCAGATACCGGAATAAGTGGTGGTCACTTGGAGCTCTGGCGAATAGGGAGGGTGGGGCCAAAGGTTCAATAATTTATTGCGAGTGACCAATCAGCAGTGGGGCCTAGCGTTGTATTGGTGGAACACAACACCCTTCCGATCATTCATAACTCTTCAGGATGTTCTCCCAATTCGATGCCACTATATCCGTTGAAAAACTGAATTATTGCTCTTCAAAGCCTTATGAATGTTTTTTAAAAATATAATAAACAAAAACTCCTTAGATGTTTTTATTTTTTATCTCCATTTGTAGTTTGTTTACGAAGGTCCTGTTGATATCATTTTGTGTAGTTTATGTGGCCCTAAATTCCTGCTACATTTCTTGTAGATAGTTAAGTTGTATTGAAGTTATAACATTTGTTGTGGTTTTCGAAAAAAAATCAGGTGAGGAGACCAAACATTAAGCCTGGAACCGTAGTCGAGCTTGTACAAATGGTTTTCTACGATTGTATGGGTCTCATTTAGGGTCATAGCATCTCTCGCACTGATTGGGTGTTATTTCTATCAACAATTCCATAACATTGCTCTTTTCAATTTCATGTGGACACAGACCGATGAGTATCATTGATGTCAAAATTTTCTGAATGAAATTCGGCAAACTAATTTTAACAGATACGTTCGGTTATGGCATCATCCTCATAAACACTGCAAATGTTTTCTATGAACTTCTCCAGCATGCTTTCCTTTTTTAAAACAATACAACAAAATATACTGATAATGAACGATATTTTCTTCCATATTCACAGTGCAAGCAATAGCAAGCACAATACTAAGCTAGTTTCAACAAAAGTTAACAGATATAGTTGTTAACATATTGCAAACAGGATAAACGATCTATTTTTGGAATTAATTCATCCATAAAAAAGAACAGAAAAAACGATATCAGGTTTTGGTTGCATTATGATGAATAATGAAATATTTATAGACATATTAATGTTTTAGAATCTTTTTAAAAACCAGAGATATAGTATTTTGTTAGTAACACATTTAAAATAATAGTAAGAAACGGTTGAACCTTCATTATGTCAGGTGGATCAGTGCTTTCATAAATGTCATTGTTTGTTAAATCTATTGTGAAATTTGACATTATCCAAGCAATAATAAAGCAATAAATAGTCAATAAAATACACTTCCAGAGTAATTTAGTCTTTAAATTAATATCGTTTTGTAGAATGTTTACATTATGTTGTGTAAAAGTTAAAAATCTTGTTCCTTGCATTACAGCCAGAAAACACTCAGTTTTCCCTCCAATCTGAAACAGAGTGTAGATAACCTGTCGGTATAACCCGTGAATTTTATTTTTTTTTATTATTTTTTTTTTTTACAGCCCTCTAACCACCATTTCTGGCATACAGAAGGGGAAGAGGAGGAGGAGAGGGAGGTTGTTCTAGAGGTATAACCAAACCTATTCCAAACCGAGTAGGAAGGTCGAGTTTTTTCAATTCAATACCCTTTGAAAACATTAATTATTTTATGAGTATGTATATTTTTTACTTCATCATTAAACTGCTATATTCTTCATTAAACGTTGAAAATGCCGAATAGACTCTGGTTTAAACTTTGTCAATAACAATGACTCCAAATAATGGGTAAAACACAAATACAGACAGACTTGAAAATATAAAATTACTACTGTCAACTTTAGATTTATTCCCGTGGTAGATTATCATCCCGTGGGTCCCCAAGAAATAAAATCAGCCACTTTCAGGCCGGATTCGAACCGGCATCGCTAGGCACGAGGATGCTAAAACGGTCAACTCTCCAACACATACTATCACGACCTCTTGGTATAACCTGAAGTTTTCTGATGGACAACTTCAAAGGCAACGGTTTGGTAGGAAATTCAAATGTGAGTCAAGCCTCCCCTATGGTCAATGGCTCCCAGTCTCCCCTATATATATATATATATATATATATATATATATATATATATATATATATATATACACACACACACACACACACACACACACACACACACATATATATATATATATATATATATATATATATATATAAGTTAACTATTGGCTTCGATAAATAGAAAAATGAAGAAACAAACAACTGGAAATAATTCAATAGTTTTTATTTAACAACAAACAGTAGTATCTAACTCAAAAAGGTTATATCCGTATATGTTTTAACATGTGTTTTTTAATATATTTTAACATGTGTTTATTTTAAATTGCAAGAAATAATAATGTGATTATTTTTAATTGAAACAAATAATATTAAGTCTTAAAAGTCTTATCTATCTCACACCGGACCTTAACTCCCCCCTGCCAGTTTATGAATATTCTTCGTAAACTAGTATCTGAATCTTACAGGTAGGTCAAGTCCGGAGTGAAGCGTCATCAGGCTATACTTTTTCATCAATAAAATTTTACATTGGTATACAATGAGAACTTTGCACTGTGGTTACTTAATTCACTTGATACAAAAGAATGGTTAAGTAATAAAAACAATAAAAAAAATCTGCAATAGTGCAAAAATATAACTACAAAAAAAAATCTTCCTGTCCCACAATGAGGACATTCCATCTATTTATGGTTGCTTTGGCTCACCTTTTGGGAGCTTTAGTTGTTCGATGTGGACT